GATATTTTATCTTCTAAATTTAAACTTAATACTGGATATGATTATCATACCAATCAGGTTTTTACTGACTTGTTTTGCAACTACATATTCTTTACAGTTAATAATTAGGCTTTATTTAAATAAAAAGGTTTGGATACTGTTTCTACCTTTTATAAGGGAATAATGTGGCTTAAATAATCTGGGCTTTTAAGTCCAACAGGGAAAGTAATTACATTTAAATATAGCACTTTGTATATAGTGATAGTCAATAAATATTTGTTAATTTGGTTTCAAGAATGTAGCTATTTCACATGATGTAATAAATGTTTAACATAATCAACTATGAGTTCAAGAATGAGTTGGAAAACAGTTGCTATAAGATTCATCAGGGACAACACAGTGAACAAATTCTGACCAATAGATTAGATGTCCTACTTTTTATTGAATTATTTAAAAGATAAAGTTATTGTTTATTTTAGTAAATGTAAAATAATAAGATGAAATCTCTCTGGAATTCCAAAAGCCAATATTCTAGCTTTCATAAGAGTGGGATTAGTTTTTAACACTTTACTCCAAATAAATACACCATGAATACTAGTTGGGATGGAAAATAAGCAAACTTAAGAAGACATACAAACTAATTGCTTTCTGTTTTGTTTTTGAGATGGGGATCTCACTCTGTTGCCCAAGCTGGAGTGCTGTGGTCAATCATAGCTCACTTTAGGCTCAAACTCCTGGGCTCAAGTGATTCTCCTGCCTTAGCCTACCAAGCTTTTAATATATTTTTTAAGAGATGGGGGTCTCACTATGTTGTCCAAGCTGGTCTTGAATGCCAAGCAATCCTCCTACCTCAGCCTCCCGAGTAGCTGGGGTTACAGGTTTGAGCCACTGCACCTGGCCCAAAAATTGCTTTTAAAAAATGAGTAGTAACTTGATTATAGGCCATAAGTGATCATTTAACAAATAAAACCTTTTAAAGTTTTTAAGTAAATTAGGTTCCTATTTTATACTCAATAGTATATTCAAGTCATGAGCTTACTTTTGGAATATAAATATAAGTAAAATGATAATTCACAAATTGCTAATTGCTCTTCCCTGCTTGCTAGGTCTTTGAACAAAATGCACACGGTATTTTAGGTTAATTGCTTAAGATAGTCTCAATTTGAAACCCCATACTGATAGATCTGTGATCATTTAAATTCAGAATACCCTTTTAAATTATATATATTGTCATCATCTACTCAAGGGTCAAATGTTCTTTTGGAAGTAAAAAGTGTCATTACAACTTGAAATAAATTGTAATGGCTGTGATTCCAGTGGTCTTCTTTAAAAGTGCATTAAAAGTAATTTGTGGCCTTGGCTTAATTTGTTGGCTTTTTAAAATCTTTTAAGCCTTTTTAAAAAATTGTAGTAATTCCATATGGTGTTAAAATATGCAATTATATGGGAATTCATACATAAATTATGTACTCATCGTCACTCTTCACTTTTCTTTGCCAAATAAATTATTACTTGAGTTTCCTGCTATCACAGGAAACACATAATTTCACAAAACATACAATATACAATGTTAGGGAACTAGAACTTGATGACTTCAGATGCACAGGCACATTTGAATTGGTAAGTTTTTAAACTAATGTGGTCTTCAGAAGGGCTGTATTTGACTTGGCAGGCCCCTATGTATAAACTTCTGGGTTTGCAAGACAGTCTTATCATTTTGATACCATAAGCCAGGCCTGTCTTTTTTTAACGTGTTGTATTGACTCAACACGAGAATTATGTTTACAGCAGAACTGTTGATTATAAAAAAAATGTGGATAGTGTATTGGTGAGAATAGTTTCACCTACAAATAACAGAAAGCCCAACTCAAACTAGCCTAAGCTATCAGATATTCATTGGCTTCTCTCCTAGAAGAGAGATTGGAAATATTTTACTTCTGGAAGAAGAGAAGGAGGGCAGGTGATTTTATTCTGTGGTTCTAGCTCATTGCTCTGTTCTTAATAGAAGCTTCATCTTCAGGGCAGTAGCAAAACAGCTATAGAAGGATCCTGACAACGTTCAAAGAAGAGGGTCACTCAGAGAATCTCTCTCATTACAATGATGAGCGCTTCTCAGAGACTCCTTTGAAAATACACCCTAATATTATTAATTGGGTCACACATCATCTTCTGTACCAATCCCTGGCTCCAGGAATGAACTTAGCCTTAGATACAGAAGAGCCACCCCTGCATCCAGCAGTGAAGTCAGGTCCTCCTTAGGCCTATGTGAGGTGTGAGACAGTGGAAGATACCTGCGTAAGACCTGGATATTGTTAGATGAAGGAAAATAATGAATGCCAGTAGAGAGCAGAAACGTCTATGTCAAACGGTGATTGGTGGTCACATGTAAAATGTAGCCCACCAAAAATCAAAAGCAATACTCTTCCATATATAAAGGATTTTTATTCTGTAGCTTTAGAATAATTCAGAGTTGGGAGACTTTTTACAATCCCATCTTTCAAGTTCATGGGGTGCTTTTAAACTTCTTTTGAAAGGAGATACATACCAGGTCAGTCATTCTGTAGCAGCTATTTTTTAAATCAGTCTGTAACTTTGGAAATGGTATCAAACATTCTCTTTGTTTCCCCTATTTGTTACTGTGCATTTCAAGTTATATATTTGCTAACCTTTATTCAACCAAACTTTAACCACCACTTCCTATATGTAATGCATAATAGTGGGTGGGTGTTTTTTAATACATCTATTATACATGCTTGACATATGTATGGTTCAGGTTAAATTGGTGGAGGAAGTAGAGTTTAAGATGGATATGCTGAACTACTTGCTAATAGGAATGAGTGATTTATTGTAGCAAAATAAGAGATATTCAAATTGTTGTTATATTACATCTTCTATTTATATTACATTTTGATTTTGTCCCTAAACTAGCTACATTTATTCATACTTCACTTGTCACTTGATTTGTGTGACCTTAATTGATGTTTATACAACCAATTATATGGTTAAAGATCATCCTCATAACCATCTAGAAGAAATACTTAAGTTCTGTAAACCTACTTCCTCATTTATAAAATGGAAAGAAAATCCACCTCGCTGAATTGTGGGAAAGTTTAAATGAGATGAGGTGTGTAAAATCTTAGGGCCATGTCTGACATAAAGTATTCCCTCAATAGGCCAGGCATGGTGGCTCAAGCCTGTAATCTCAGCACTTTGGGAGGCTGAGGCAGGCTGATCACAAGATCAAGAGTTAGAGACCAGCCTGATCAACATGGTGAAACCTTGTCTCTACTAAAAATACAAAAATAAGCCAGGTGTGGTGGCGCGTGCCTGCAATCCCAGCTACTCAGGAGGCTGAAGCAGGAGAATCATTTGAACCTGGGAGGTGGAGGTTGCAGTGAGCCAAGATTGTGCCACTGCACTCCAGCCTGAGTGACAGAGCGAGACTCTAGTCTCAAAAGAAAAAAAAAAAAAGTAGAAAGTGTTCCCTCAATAAAGGATAAGCAACTTTTGGGAAATGCCTATTGATGGAGCCTCCCAATTAAAGAAGTTAACATTCTAAGGGAAGGAGGCTTATAAATGCAAGTCCTTTAGTTTCATGCTGCTGTATTACAAAATTACTGTAATTACTGCATGTGTGTGTGTGTGTGTGTGTGTGTGTGTGTGTGTGTGTGTGTGTATTAAGGGCAAGAGTAAACAATATGGAGACTGGTATAGTCTAGCTTTAAATTTCTAAAAGTACAAAAAGAATAGACTAGAAATCTCTTTGTAAATTTTATAACACTAAACAAATGTTGTGTGTAGCTAGTACGACCTGCTCCAAAAACTCAGAGAATGAAACAATTGTACATATCTCTTATTTTATCCTAATTAATCATTCAATCAAAAAAAAAAAATCTTTTTAATAGATAGCCCAACATACCCTCTTAAACTCTACCCCATCTTTGTCCTTCTTTTTCCATTTACAGAGAATCTTCAGGGATTGTTCAATCCCGAATTGGTCAATCCTTGTCCAGAGACCAAGGGGAAAGGGAACTGAGGTCCAGTCAGCCTACTATCACCAGTTTTTCATTGTCATGTGTCACTGTTGAAACTTGATCTTGTCAGTTCCTAAAATCCATGCTAACCCTTGCTGGGCTGGTCCAAGCCTCTGCTCTGGCTTCAGGGATGCCTCTCAGTTGGATTGTTCACAATGTCTTGTTCAGTCATTATTCCCAAAACACTGGATACTACATCTGGGCCGCTGGAGGCCGAGAGGCTTCTTGCTTAAATAACAAGCTATGTCACACCAGTCCTTCCCCATAACAACACCTGGAATCTTAAAAGTTTAGCCTGGATTAGCCAAGACCATCCCTTTCTTTAAAACGAAAAAAAGAAAGAAAGAAAGAAAGAAAAAAACTTTGTACCTAGGCACGCTATAGCCCTTTTTTGTTGCCATGTGTTGGTCAGAACCATCCTAGTCTTCCCTGACAGGTCCCTCTAACTCCAAATTTCTGGACATATGTCTTGGTCCCCATTTCACTGAGCTCCTGGGCTCCTCATGCAAATTACATATCAGGGTTTCTAAAGAATAACAATATGGAATGTCTCCTCATCCTATATTCACATAACTAGGGAAACCACTCTTACTGGTTTCATATGGCTACTGTAACAAATTAGCAGCAATGTATTGGCTTAAAACAAAACAAACTTACTCTCTTAACATTTCTGGAGATCAGAGGTCAGAATTGAGCCTTACAGGGCTAAAACCAACGTGTCTGCCGGTCTGATTCCTTTAAAGAAGGCTCAATTCTTTGCCTCTTCTAACTTTCAGAAGTTTCTGGAAATCCTTGGATCATGGCCATATTCAATTGTTACATAGTCTTCCATTCTACATCCAACCACAACTATGTCCAATCTCTATTTCTAAATTACATCACCTTCTCCTAAATTTAACCCTCCTATCTCCATCTCATAAGAATGCTTGTGATACTTTAGGACAATCTGGCTAATACAGGATAACGTCATAATCTCAAAATACTTACCTTAATCACATCTGCAAAGTGTCTTTTACCATGTAAGGTAACAGGTCCTGGGCATTGGGATGTAGACATGTTTAGGAGCCCACTATTCTGTCAACCACATCACTCAAATAATTCTTTTCACAGCAAAGATTACTTCAGGGAGACTTTCTGTTTTCACCCTATGTATAGTGGGAAGAAGCAGAATCAAAGATGTGTCTCAATGGGCATTTCCTTTAAATTTCACATTAACCAGCACCCTGATTTGCACTTTCTTAGCCAAATGGCAGAGGGAGAAAATGTATCAAAACTGCAGTTTTTTTTAATCCAGTAGGTTACTAAATAACATATAATTAGAGGAAACTATGATCAAAGGCATAATTAGAATATAAAATTCAAAGTGTGCCCTTTCCATGGTCTATCCTACTTATCGCTTGGTCTTCTGAAACCCAGGAATCAGACCATCCCTTACAGGTCTCTGAATGGGTTCAAGGCTGTCTACCTTTGAAGGACAAACTGCTAGGTAGGTTAAACTGTTTCAGTTGGGCACCAAAGACATACTACCATGAGTTGTACCAAGCGACATGCCTATCTCAAAGGTTTCACTGACTTTATATTTATTTATTTTTTATTGACAAAAGTTCCATCTATTTATCATGTACAACATGATGTTTTGAAACAATATATACCTTGTGGAATGCTAAATCAAGCTAATTAACATGTGTGACTTTATATTTTTGTCTTGGCTTATCTCAGAACAACAACAAAAATATTTAATGCTATCCATATAGAATATCCATTCCACTTAAGAATTTTATGCAATCCTAACTTCAAACATACCCAACAATAAAACAATAAGGAGTAACATATTTGTTCATTTAATATAAGCATTTATTCATTAGTAACTTTATTGGAAAGTACCCAGAATACTAGGTTGAACTAGATGAAATTGCTAATATTTGCTCAGTATTTTGATGATGTCATATGACTCAACTTATGATAGAGTCTGTCAATGATGGCATTACAAACTCCAGCAGCATTCACCTGAAGCTCCACAAGGAACAATTGATGACCTTCCAAAACACATTCCTTGCTCACCCCCAACTCCACTCCCAGGAATATGTTGGTGTGTTGGGTATCTTCTGTTTGCCTGCCCGGACCCATCATCCACCCTACCCTGTGATCCCAGGAGGCTGACCTGTATGGATTGTTCTGGTCTTATGGCATCCAGTTGGGTTAGAAAAGTAGAAGATCAGAGGGCAAGAGGACAGCAAGATAGAGGTGTGAATCCACCCTCCTCCTACTCCCCTGGGTCATCCCTGGTTATCTGCATTTCTTTCTAAACGTCACAACTCTCATCAGACACTCTACAAACAGCTGTCCTTGGAGTTCTGTTGTCTTTTCCCTTGCTTCTTCAGTTCTAGGAGAGGTAATGACTCTCTGCTGTTGCTATTCCTAGGGTTCTAAATAATCTCTTATTTTTTGTTTCTTTAATCCCTCTTCTATACTTTTAGAAATAATCCTTTCACCTCGTTTTAGCTTACCTTCTATTTTCTTCAGAAATCTTGACTGAACCCAAGACAGGTTTTCTAAAATAATAACTACCACACGTGAAACTGCATTTCATTTTGTGGGTAGCATTCCTCTACGCACCTCTGGACTCAGATAGAGGGTGAGGGATTGTGAAGGATATTTTAGGCTGCAGACCCAGCCAGGACCACATGAGAGTGAATGAGCCCTCAGATGATTCCAATTCTGAGCCTTCAAGTCTTCTACCTGAGACCCCACATGTAGTGGGTTAGAGACTCTGTGGTGTGGTACCCTATCTGAATTCCTGACCTACAGAAACCATAAGAGAGAAAAACTTATTTTAAGCCACTACATTTTGGGATAATTTGTTACACAGCAGCAGAAACTACTATACTTGTTCTGTCTAGTATCTATCATCTGAGGATCTCCCAACCTCTTTCTCTCTCCGTCATCTCTGATGCCTATTGAGAATAGGAGGCACCAGCATTTAATGAGCCCACTCTTACATCAGACCAGGTTGACTCATTTCTCTTGCTTTCTAAGTCTTCTGAGCAAGCCTTCAAGGTATAAAACAGTGATCAAGTGTCCAGAGTCTGCAGCTGAACTGCATGGCTTTGAGTACTAGCTCTGCCACTTGCTAACAGAGAGACCTTGGCTAATTATGTAATATCTACATGCTCCAGCTTCCTCACCTGTAAAATGGTAATAATCACACATATCTGATAGGATTAGTAGGAGGATTAAATGGGTTATAACTTGTAAAGGTCTTAGAAGAGTGTCTGGAATACAGAAAGTGTGACACAACTGTTGAATAAAATAATGCAGGACACATGCAGTGTGCCAGAAAATGACCATTATCCTCACAAGCAAAGCAGAAGAATAGGTTCAACTCACTGAATCCAGAAAACCTTATGGATGGCTTAAGAACCTAGTCTATTCTGAAGTATTCTAAGGCTTTTTATTTAAGATAACACATTAGTTGCTTGATATAAGCACTTGATATAAATATATAAACAGAGTTTTGCTAGAGTGACTTTTCCTGTGACTTTCTGAAGTATAATTCAAACCATTTACATAGACTAGAACTTTCTTCCCTGCTCTCTACCACAGGTATGTCTTGAAAATTATACATGAGGTCTGGAGTATCAGCCAGGATCCCAGCAGGAAACATATGGCACTCTCAAACTGGATAATTCAGGAGAGTTTAATTAGGGAACTATTTTTAAAAGGTGGCCATGATTTAAGAAAGCCAATAACAAAGAGTAGTACAGCCAGCAATGGCAGGGAGCCACTACCTCCCACAGGCCAGATGGCAGGAAAAGCTATATGGAGAGAACTATCCTAAAGGGACTTTGGCAGAGGAACTCAGCCCACCATGGATGACCCACCTGGGAGGTTGCCAAGTGTTTGGTTATTTATTGCTGCATAAAAACCATGCCCAAACTTACTAGTGTAAAACTGTAATCATGTATTATGCTCACAATTGTGTGGGCCAGGAATTCTGGCAGGACACAGCGGGGATGGATTGTCTGCTTCACAATGCTGGGAGCCTCTGCTGGGTTAGTCTGAACAGCTGGAGATGGCTGAGAAAGCTCGATGGGACCATATATCTTGGGCTTCAGTTCTGCTGTTGTCTGGGTTCTTTGGTTCTTCTCCATGATACATCTGCTGGGGTTAGAATGTCCTGCCACCTGGCATTCTCATTCACATGTCTTCCATGGAAGGCTGAATATCTTGGCGACGGCCAGCATTGCTCTTTCTCCGTGCAGTTTCTGCCAAGGGCCAGCTTGCTCTGGCTCCCTCCAGCAGGGTAGTCAGACTTCTTAAATAATAGCTCAGAGCTCCAAGAGTGGGTGCTCTAGGAAACCAGGGTAAATGGGAGTTCCAAGGCTTCTTGTGATAAACTAGCCTCAGAAGTTCCAAAATGTAACTTTTACCACATGCAATTGCTCAAGCAAGTCACTTAGGTGAGTCAAGGTTAAAAAGGAGTGAGGAATTAGGTTCTGCCTCTCAATGGGAGAAATAGCAGAGAATTTGCCACCATGTTTAGTCTACCGCATCAGGTTAGTAAAACTCTGAGTCCATTCTCCTTCTGCCTTACCATCACTTGCTGGTGTTCCCTATTAACTAAGGCAGCCAGTAGCCAGAGGGTAAAGGAGCTTGTTGATGTAGTCCTTACAGGTCAGCTTTCTGGGGCAGTGGCCCCCAATGTTTTTGGCACCAGGTACCGGTTTCATGGAAGACAAATTTTCCACAGACTATGGGGTGGTAGGGAATGGTTTTGGGATAAAATTGTTACACCTCAGATAATCAAGTATTAGTTAGATTCTTGTAAGAAATGGGCAACCTAGATCCCTTGCATGCACCGTTCACAATAGGGTTTCCACGCCTATGAGAATCTAATACCCGCCGCTGATCTGAGAGGAGGCGGAGCTCAAGTGGTAATGCAGCTTGCCTGCTGCTCACCTCCTGCTGTGCGGCCCAGTTCCTAACAGGCCATGGATCAGTACTGGTCAGGGGCCCCAGGGTTGAGGATCCCTGTTCTGGGAAATAGGGTATCCAATGACTCCTAATCCCCAAATGCTTGTTTTAGGGCTTTCGAGCACTGTGCCAGATTATGAAGCAGTGTATTCTTGATAACACAGGAATGACAGCCAGGAAAAAACCATATACACCGTTCATTATCTACATTTGTATTCCCAATTATTATGCCTTTGCCTTTCACTCTTGAAATCTTAATCAGTGTTTATTCAGAGCTTTCATTTGGACTAGAATTTCATTCCCAGAACACACCCACCATTTGTGCTACCTCAATTTCCCAACTTCAAGAAAAATCTAAAGAGATTTGGATTTTCCAACATGTTAGTCTGTGTCTGCTAGCATGATGAGGCTTAGAATGCAGTGCTTTTACACCCCAGGAGTCTAGCAACATCGGACACTGTGTGCCCTCTTTCATTGTGAGATTCAGTTAAAAAATAATTGTGTGTGTGTGTGTGTGAGAGTGTGTGTGTGAGTGTGTGTGTGAGTGTGTGTGTAGGGCAGGGAACAGTAGAGTCTCAGGTAAAGGCCTTAAAAATCACACAGGACAACCTCTTCTTTTTGGTTTAGTAGCTAATACGTTCTTCAGCAAAGTCTGGTAAAAGTAACATTCACATTTTACTTCTCCCAAAATCCTTTGCTAACCATTGAATATCCGTCCGGTGATTTTAAAAACATCTTGTAGTCACATTTCAAACTAAATCTCATTGTAGCTTTCTGGATTCCCCAAATCAGGAAGAGCTTGTTTCTCCTGAACTATCCACATACTTCTTTTTTTTTTTTTTTTTTTTAGACGGAGTCTCGCTCTGTCACCCAGGCTGGAGTGCTGTGGCGGGAGCTCACTGCAAGCTCCGCCTCCCGGGTTTATGCCATTCTCCTGCCTCAGCCTCCCGAGTAGCTGGGACTACAGGCACCTGCCACCTCACCCGGCCAGTTTTTTGTATGTTTTTAGTAGAGACGGGGTTTCACTGTGTGAGCCAGGATGGTCTCAATCTCCTGACCTCGTGATCCGCCCGTCTCGGCCTCTCAAAGTGCTGGGATTACA